TCAAAGCCAGGACATCACAGAGTGTTGAGGTCACGACTCCCAAAAGGCAAGCGTCAGAGCACTACAAACTTACGAATAAAAAACTTCCTATCACCTAGATTTCTTATTTTCACATTTAACAATGGAATTAAAATGTAATTTTACTTTCGATCGACACTTCTGATCAGGCGATATAAAATTTTCGTACAATTTTTTACAGCAGAATTTCTTCAACAAACATTAGCAATATGTCGAAAAATAATCGACTACATCGATATAATTATAATTGTGCGATTTATGTCTACTTTCTTTTTATAACTACGCCGATGTAGCCATATCAATTACTAATACGGCATATTTAGGAATTGTGATAGTAAAACAACAAACTATTATATTGATTCTTGAAGCCAGTGATATACCGCAGCCACGAATAAATATCATGCTGAACATTTGAATACAAAATAGTTAGGCAGCGGAATTAATTAATGCCTCCAATCAAGAATTACTTCAATGTACTCTTGAAGATATGACTACTCTTGATGAACTAATATCTTCTTACTTGTATTTACGGTAAAAAATTGATAACTCTAAGGTCATTAACTGTAGTCTGAGTATACTGGCGGAATTACAACAGTATTTGACGGTTTTATGTGATTAAAAATGATAACGGATATAGATTCTAGCCAAGAAAATGATCCTAAGAATAATATATCTACCAATGATTTTTTTTGATGAAAATTCCTTTAGTCTTCAGCCCTTGGATTACGTTAACGGGAATTAGAACTTGTAAGAACCTTTGCATTGATCTCCTTGTAGAAATGGAACTAGCAGAATCCATGAAATTGTATTATTGTGCATGACGCTAAAAAATCAATAATGGTAGGTATATAACTCCCGTATAATTATACTATCGTACAACATGTATTCAACTATTCCAACCCAAGACCCTATTCTTTATTGTAATTTTTAGTTTGAGATTATTCGAATCAGGCGCCTAAAAATACTGCCGATTTTCGATTTAGCCGAATGATATAGCGAGCTCTGCTTTATCGACCTCAGAAGATAAGGCAGGGAACAACATATCGATAAAACATACAAAACAACCGCTATATAGGGGAGCGGAAGACAAAATGGGGTATAAAACCGTAGCGGCTAATTAATTGTGTTTTTTGGTAAAAATTACTTATAGTGGAGGTAAAATATGGCTTCAGCATGAGTTGAAATCACGCCAATTCAAAAAAAATAATTGAAGGACAAAATGGAATGCCCCAATTGAAATACCGCAAAATTGGGTTGATTGACTTTGATTACAAATAATATGAAAATAATTAAAATGTATACTTATATGTTACATATTTTTTCGATACATAATCGAAGTCGTCTCAGGGTGTTTTGACCAAATTCGCGGAATTTCAACATGAAAAAATTGAAAATAAAATAGGTCCAGGACGAAACCTAACTTGTTTGACAGTTCAAAATACTTGTTTTGATGACAAGAATTAATGAAAAAAATACGAAAAAAATAAAACATGACATAATTTTGCAAAATCAAGTTTTTCAACTTTTTGTTTGAATTCGTTATTATGAGCACCTAGAGATTGAGAAAAAAAATCCTCAAAATATTCTTATAGATAGCAGAAAATGGAAAATTTTGATGGGTTATAAATGAAAATCCAATGAATAGAACTGAACTTATTGAAAAATGAAGAAAAAATCATATCTCTGAAATGGATTGTCGAAAAAATCTGGAAAAAATTGAGAGATAGTTTTTAATTAACTCATCTGATAGTTATTTTATACTTTTCTCGCAAATTCATCATTATTTCAATTTTAGCGAAAATTTTGAGGTGTCCCATTTTACCCACCCTGCCCCGTTTTGCCCTACCCTCCCCTACTTAGCAGATAGAAAAATTATTTTGCGGATGAATTTTATTTATATCAATTGGGAATAATTAGGGAGAATTTAGAAGCACAAAATTATAATTTAGGAGTCCATAGTTTATTTATAATTAATTGTTGTTTAAATTCCATATAGTTAGCAGATAATATATTGAAAAAAAAATAGTGATATGAATCGATAGCAAATAATTTGGGAAGTTCAAAAATGTCAAATTCAGAATTAGGGAGTGGATAAATATCCTATTTACTAAATATGAACGAAATGTGAAGTTGTTTTATATCGAAATATCTCGAAACTGCCTGGCCGCTAATCCTTAATTCTGATTGGTCAATATGTGATACGAAGTTATTCACAAAAAAAACACGCGGCATTATCAAATTCTTCAGTGACATAATTTCAAATTCTTCAGAGGTAATTTTTTTTTCACGTCATATACATTCTTTCCTTCGCATCACTAATTCTGAATTGCATTTTCAAGCCACGAATGACCAAAATGATCGAGGTATTTTCGAAATAGCTACATCAATTATATTACTCATGATGAGATTTCATATGGACGCCGAGTGAATAATCAAATTACGATAGAAATAGTAATTGATTCAAGAATTTTTCAGTATAGTAAATGAGTAAAAACATTGAACTTATGAATATAATAATTTTCTGCAATAGAATGCAAACAGTATAACTCTATGTATGCGAGAATTTTACTCTATATTAAAAATTGTTATTATATGATCAATTCTACGATTGGATAACTCTTCATTCTATTTCTTCAGTGGATTGTTCGCTCAACCTTAACTACCGTACTAGACTACCGTATTCTAGAGAATTAAGTTTCAGTAGTTGGTGCACTCGATATTCCGCATTTGGGCGTCGTGACCTCAACCCATCAATGGTACCAACGTTCTCACTAAAATCTGCCTCGAATATTTTATTATGAGAAAAATGAAGAAAAGACGCACAATGAACTTCTTCAGATGGGCATATTTCATTCATTTTAGCATTAAAAAATGTAATAAAAATTACAATGGATGGCTTATAGCAACATTATATAGTAAAAGTATAATTCAAAATGTGCTGCGGTTTGAAATTTGTACGGAAAAAAATAAAAACCGTTTTGGGGTTCGTGGAGGGGGAAGTTGACTGGCGTATATAACAGGCAGTCACGCACCCGTTCTTGGCTACGGGACGCAACTGTGTCCCTTGATCTATCGAAAAATGTGTGGTGGAGTTTTTCTGAATATCTCCCCTGAAATACCATTTCAAAAACCATAATAACGTGAATTTTAACTACTTTTTTTTCATCCTCAAGGGTCCAACATGGGACGGTCGTGGAGGCATTCACACTCACATGACCAATACAAGAATCACTGACCCTGAAATTCTGGAATTGCGCTACCCAGTGATACTAAGAAGATTCTCCCTCCGTCCTAACAGCGGCGGTGATGGTGCTTTCAAAGGCGGTGATGGAGTCATTCGTGAAATCATGTTCAGATCACTCATGACCCTGTCAGTGTTAACAGAGCGTAGGTCACACTGTCCACCGGGAATGGAGGGCGGTCATCCAGGTGTTCGTGGCCGAAATACACTGATAAGAGCCGATAACAGACGAATAAATCTCGGCCCTAAAACCGCAGTACCAGTTTATCCAGGGGTTTGTATCAATTCATTCGTACAACATTTTTTACTGCAGTAGGTGGAGTAGGTGGGTACACGAGCCAAAAAATTTTAAAATATATCCACGGAGGATTTTACACGCTAGACAGGTAACTTTGTTCTATGCACAACTATTCTTGATATTGAAGAATTCTGTCGTTTCGTAGTCTTATGCTGAGCTCTCTCGTAAAGATTTTTATTTGTACGAATGGCGAAAGAGACGACATCACCTTTTTTTTGGCCTCACTGTACCACGGCTTCACCGCCTTTCCTGTGTTTGGTGCCAGTTGCGGCACATACGCCGTACATCTCATTTCCTTAGAGCCATAATTTCGTGCATATAACCAACCGGAAGTACATATATCTTTTGGCAATCCGGAAAGACAGGATGATCTTTGGGGTTTCAACTCGTTTCATTTTACGCCACGATAACTCGAAGTAAAAAGAAAGAGTGGGCCGAAGTAAATATAAAGATGAGAAAGAGTAAAAAAAATCGACATAGTGGATGAAAGGAAGTGAACGCACCGGGTTTTAGGAGACGTGTCGGGGGTTGTGATGGGGAAAAATGTGTCTCGATTTTATTTATCCAAGGGTTCTACTGGGTTACTCTATGAGGTGAAGTTTTATAGCAAAGGGGGTTTCCTCGTTTTCCTTTTCTCTTAAGGAAAATGAGGGGTATGTGTTTGTATGAAAATATTATGTTTCAAGACCTGAAAGTAGGAATGAACGAGGGATGTAAAATGAAAGGGGGGATTGCGGAATTCTATCCCTTGCTCTCTCGAGTTTGTGCGATACTTTTAATTTTTTTTCTCTTTCAGGATACGTTCTTGTTAGAAACTCCAGGCGGCGGAGGATACGGGACACCAGGCACGAGATCGTCAGTATTTCAGCAAGCAAACAAACTTTTTCTTGAACATGGCAGTGTATATGAGTATCGCAAAGCTCAAGAATCCATATAATTCCTCAACAATTTGTCAACAAAACAGTTATATTCTGATAATGAAAAGTTTTATTTTGTCATGAATTTTCTCGTTTGAAATAAAATCGTATATTACAACAAAATGGTTGAGCCTTGTTAATCCTGAATTCCCATAAAGTTTAATTCAAAGCTGACGCTGAACTAACCCAAAGAATGTTTTCACAGGCCCTACTGGATTACTCTACGAGGTGAACTTTTACAGCAAAGGTGGTTTCCTCATTTTCCTTAAGAGAAAAGGAAAATGAGGGGTATGTAGTTGTACGAAAATATATTTCAAGAAATGAAAGTACAAATAAACGAGGCATGCAGAATGAAAAAGGGGATTGCAGAATTCTATTCTTTCTTTTCTGGAGTTCACGTGATTCATTTAATTTTTTTTCTCTTTCGGGATACGCTCCTGTTAGAAACTCCAGGTGGCGGAGAATACGGGACACCAGGCACGAGATCATCAGTATTTCAGCAAACAAACAAACTTTTTCTTGAAGATGGCAGTGTTTATGAGTATCGCAAAGGTCAACAATCCGTATAATTTCCCAGCAATATGTCAACAAAACAGTTGTATTCTGATGATGAAAAGTATTATTTTGTCATGAATTTTCTCGTTTGAAATAAAATCGTATATTACCACAAAATGGTTGAGTCCTGTTAATCCTGAATTCCCGTAAATTTTAATTCAAAGCTGACGTAGAGCTAATCCAAAGAATTTTTTTACCGTAATTGGGCGCTCATTACTATGCTGAGCATCTCACGGTTAACATAACGACTTGAGAGCATTTTGTGATCCTGGAAAATTCATTACCCTCCAACGGTACGACATCCTTGGTGCATTTAGTCACAGCCAATTGACCTTAAGATTAAATCTAATTTACAAGGATCCTCAGTGAGTGTATTAGAATCACGGTTCAAAATGGCTGCTGTTCGATTTCCGGCGGAGGAGAGGGGGAGATGTAATTAGTATTACTATGCGATTACCTCGTCGAAATGCCAGGTTATCTGACGTTGGAGATTGGCCGAGTTCGGGTCTGAAGGGGAATTGAAATCGACAAAGTAGTGCATGGATCACTCCACAGATCATGTATCAGTCATGGAGAGTAATCTTATATCTGACATCTTCAGTGATTTTAGGGCTGAAAGGAGAAAAATATTTGTTAAAATTCAACAATGGGAACTACACTGTTTGAAGAAAATTAAATTTCATGCATAAGTAACATTGTACCGACGTCGGTGGCCGAGTGGATTAGACGCAAGTCTAGTGTGCGAAAAGTTGTGAGTTCGATTCCCCGTGGAACCGAATTTTTCAACGGAAGGCTCCGGCGAGCGGGAGGTTGCTAATAGAGGAACCGCCTGTACCGGCATGGGTTTTCTGTGGTTTCCCCATGCTACTTCTATGTTCTATAGAAGTGCGAATGCGGTACAGTGTAGAATCCACAGCCGCATGCATAGGGTTGGATAGAGTGCCGAATGGGACCCGAAAAAGGGACTCCGAGGCCGTAAAAAAAAAATAAAAAAAAAATAAGTAACATTGATTATTTATTCCATTTTACTATCCGTATTTTCACCCATTAACACAAATTTAAAAATGATAAGAAAAGTATACAGAAGGATATCGAAGTGTCCATAATGCAATGTTTACAACTTCAAAATTGTTTCGAAGTTTCCATCTTTGGTTCTCTTTAGTATTAGGGATTCGCGATTGTGAAATTTAGTGTTTTTGTCATTAATTTTCATAGTAACGTAACTGATTTTTAGGGACCCATCTCTAATCTTGCAAAATCGATCACCAAATTTGAATGAAATTTCTCGGTGGATAAGATATCCTAAACTAGGTCCGCATGGTATTAGTCACTGGTATATACCTCTTCCAACTCTTATTTCTAAGTGTCAGAAACCGGGACATCCCCGAAGTTCCTTATCTAGGTGGATTGCGGTTATTTATGTTTTTATTGCTTCTCATTTCGGTCACGTATGGAGATGAACTAAGCCTCACTTTGAGGTACGCTTTCGCCGCTCTCTTTCTTTCTCCCCTATACATATGAGATATCTTCTAACTCTATCCTGCTTGGTTTTTCCACCTACCGTAAAGATAAAAATGGAATGAAAATCGGAAACTAGGGAATATTTGGTATCACGAAATGCAATTTTTTAATATATCACAATATGAGGATTTCAACTTTATTTATGCACTGCATGATTAATTCCGCTTTTGTATTCACATCAGACGTAGCTGTGATAATTTCTACAAGACGGATTTTGCTGAATTTTCCGTCCGAGTTGATCTGGAAAGTAATTCCTTGTGGTCTATAATAGTCTCTGCGTGTCATTTTATAACAGACGATGTGAGAAGTATACTTACAATATCCAGTCCCTCATGGAGATAAGTGTTCCGCATGACTTTCTTCACTGTGAACAATTAAAAATGATAAAGAATGGGACATAAGGTAAATGTACCTATGCTCATTCAGATTTGTTGAACTATCAAATTTTAATCATTTTGATAGTCCCAAGAATTGATTACGAGTGAAATACGATTGAAGTTGCCACTTTAGTTAATAATGAATGTTATACACACCAATGATAAGTGGTTTATCGAAGAATAAGAGAAAAATCCCATTCACATCAACTGGTGCTACGACAGAGCGAATTCGTGAGCCGCAAGTTAAGAAACTCACAATTTAAAAATATTGATATCTCCGTTAAAATAGTAAAATGGGATTAAAAATCCCTTGACTGAGGTTCCGGAAATTGAAATATCAATAAAAATACATAAATTACAGCAATATTTGCATAATTCACTGAAATGTCAGCAATTAAAAAAATTGGTACAATGCAAATCACATTGATCCTATCGTTTTACGATCAACTGTCAACTGATAACGGACTGAACGACTAGGAAAGTCATTTAAAAGGTGGCATTGTCCAATTGAAACATAATTTTGTGACTCGAGATATATTTTAATTGTGTTTTAGTACAAAATGGGATACGCACGATGTAATTAGTTCCGATATAACTTTTCCATATCATTCAAATCACGGGACGAGTATACGGACATGTGTCAAACGTGCATGGGGAGACGTGAGCGAGTGTAGGGACATGCAACTTTCCACGTTTATGGGCAATTATTCATTAATAGACAGTAATTAGCCTAATGTATATAATTGAATTCTAATTCTGAAGTTTCCCATTCTGATATTCAATTTCAAACATTGCATCGTGACTCTCATTTCGGCAGAAATATTGGACTAATGATGTGTTCACTTTAGGAGGACGAGCGTGTGGTCATTCACCACAATGTTTACATATGGAATACCCGAATTATAGAGTCGAGAAAATTGTGACAAGGAGAAAAATGAGTAGCGGCGTTAATCCCTGACATGCACACTTAGTTGTAACCCTTTTTGCTTGCACACCTTCCTGTTTTTTTTCGCCTGAGAAAAATCATTTAATAGTTGCATTTTGAACTTCTACATAGAGACAGTATTCCTACCAAATTTCATATTCCTACCATTTTTTGTCTCTGAGATAACGATTACAAAACTTGGAATTTTAAAAAATTCACAACTTCTGAATGGCGTATTCGATTCAGACGAATGTAAATAGAAAATTTTTGTTTTTCTCTCAACTTGAAGATTAAAAATACTTGAGAGTCTTGAAGAAGCTCCTAGACCAATCTTTAAAAGAATTATCAAGTTTTTTTTTCATTTTAAGGACATCGGCGTGCATATATCACGTACTAAATGGAAAAAGGTCGTATGGATCATTCTGGGATTTTTAGACCATCAAAATGGAAAAAGGTCATTTAAACCTAATCTAGGAAACATGAAATCTGGACGATTTGGGCTCTTTAGAATAATTCTAACCCAGATCTTTGAGAATAATTTTTTTTGCGCATACGATCTTTTCCTACAAATGTATCTCCAGTAGTATAAAAATGAAAAAAAAAACATACTTTCACTGTTTTCCTCTCATTCTGTCAATATTCCAGTCGTACTTTTAAAGAAATAAACATCTTTCCAGAATTTACTGTCAGAAAATTATGAAAGTAAATTAACTAAATTCACGAATAGAATTAACTAACGAGATTTCATGTTCCCTAAATTAGGTTTATACGACCTTTTTCCACTTCGATGACCTAAAAATTCGAAAATAGTCAATACGACCTTTTCCATTTAGCACGCAATATGATACAAAAAATGTGCCATGATGAATGAGAAAAATAGAGCACCGGAAATTTTTTTTCTGAAATTTTTGAAATGGTGAGAATTTTACAACCTTTTGGAGTAGTTTTTGACTTGTCTCGAAAGCATTCGAGATAGGTCTTGCGTTCTTTTGAAACGTTTGGGAGAATTCTAGAATGTTCTCGACAATTTCAGAGAAAACACCTGTTTTCTAGAAAATTGACGAAATCCTGGGGTTTTCAAGAAAAGTCGAAAAATGCGCAGATTTTCTAGAAATTTCGGGAAAATTTTCAGGTTTCCTAGAAGATTCTGAGGAATTCTCGGGTTTTTCAGAAGTTTCGAAAAATGTCGAGGGTTTTGTAAAAATTTACCGATAATTGTGGGATTGTCTAAAATTGCAAAGAAATTCGCAAATTTTCGGGAGAATTCGCATTTTTTGGGAAAATTGAAGAACTTTTCCAGATAAATTACGAATTTTCTCCTAAATTCGAATAGATCTTCGGTTTTTCTAACAAATTCTTGTGCAGTAAATTTGATAAAATTGCTGGGTGTTTTATAAATCTATAAAAGAAGAGGAATGACCCGGGCAATGCTGGGCAGAACAGCTAGTAATGAAATCAGTCTCAATACTCTTCCGTGTCTGGTGTGGAGTTCTAAATTTCAGCAAGTCATTTTAGAAATTTCTTCCTTCAACATACCTGACTCACTTTTAGCCATGGCATCGTCATGTGCTTTTGCGAAGATTGCAGTCTAGTTAGAAGATCAATTAATTAATTATAGATGTCAACCAAGGCATGTAATAAATCTTACCGTTAAGCTCGTGACGATGATGATGAAGATAATCATTTTTGGAACCATTCTACGATTCACTTTGATGGGGAGTTTACCGTTGAAGGAGTGATGCAAC